GAATCAACTTGATGGCAGTTGGTTTATTTTTACACTAAAAAAAAAAAAAAAAAAGGAGTTCTAGTTTTAGTAGCATAGTGCCTGGGGCATTTGACTGTTAACCAGAAGGTTGGCAGTTCAACCCCCCCAGCCACTCTGAGGAAGGAGGAGTGGGCAATTTACTTCTATAAAGATTTACTGTAGTGCCTAAGGCATTTGCCTGCTAACCAGAAGGCTGTGGGTTCAAACCCACCAGCCACTCCTCGGAAGGAAGGTGGGGTAATCTGCTATTGTAAAGATTTACTGCCTTGGCAACCCAATGGGGGTCGCTAAGAGTTGGAATTGACTCAATGGCGGTGAGTAATATTTATATACACAGCTCCCATATGTAATTACTCTCCATTTTGTGCTGTGTTGTGAATCGCAGCCTCTATGCCTGTGGTTGTGGCTCCATGTGGGAGTGAGTTGTCTGTCCATCAGGTTAATGAGGCAGGATTGGGGGGGGATAACTTCTTCAGTCCCCACTTCACTAGAAGGTGTGACTCAATTCACCACCATTACACCAGTTAGCATCCTCGTTCATGTCCTACCCCCAGCACCTTACTGAAGTCCCATCCTTCTAAGAGGAAAGGAGAGAGAAAGGAGTAAAGAAAGGAGGGACCACAAGAGGAGGAGAAGGGAGTGAACATGACCTTTGGAGCTGGGGTCCCAGCGCTCCGAATCGCTTAGACCCAGGACACAGAGAGTGGGCTGTAAGGCCAGACACAGCACAGGAAGTCGAGAAGTGGCTGCCGGGGCTGGTGGTGAAACCCAGTAAAGTAAAAACCATGTCCCCCACCCTGGCACCCTGATGGGAGAGCTGCAAACCTTCCAGCCAAGGCTTCCTGGCCGAGTGGAGCCCTTCCAGGCACTAGTACTAGTGGAGGTGGCTGAAAAGTTTTGCAGCATTTGCTGGAGTAGGTCCGAGGTCCAGAGCCGGAAAGAGACGTGCTTGTGGGCCCAGCTGACAGCTGAGAAGGGGCTGTCCTCACTGAGGAACTGCATCCTGAGTCATTTCTGATTCTGAATTGTAACCTGTTGCTTTCCTGATAAACCCCATCATGGTGAATATTGTGAGTTCTGTGTGGCTATTGCAACAACTGATTGAACCCTACAGAGTAGAGAGTGGGCGGACGGGATGGCTGGTGTCAGAATTGGTAAGAAGGTTGGAGGGAGGCGGCCTGTCTGACCTCCACCTCATAGGAATACGCCTGGGGCCGATGCTGCTGATGGTCACTCTGTCCCTTGCAAAGCTACAGGCCAGTTGCCTTCCTTGTGCTATTTTTAAACAGGGCATCAATGATATTCCAGCCAGATAAACCAAAAATAATAACCCACTCCATTCCGGCTCACAGCGCCCCTAACGGACAGAGTGGAACTGCCCCACAGGGTCTCCAAGGCTGTCAGTCTTCACAGAAGCAAAGCCCAAACCACACCCACTGCCGTGGAGTCCATTCCGGCTCACAGCGCCCCTAGAGGACAGAGTGGAACTGCACCACAGGGTCTCCAAGGCTGTCAATCTTCACAGAAGCAAAGCCCCAACCAAAACTACTGTTGTGGAGTTTTTTTCTGACTCACAGCGCCCCTAGAGGACAGGGTGGAACTGGCCCCATGAATTTTCCAAGCCTGTCAATCTTTACAGAAGCCTCATCTTCCTCCTGCAGAGTGGCTGGTGGGTTTAGTCTACCCACCTTTTGGGTAGCAGCCTAGTGCTTTGAGCACTCACCATCAAGGCTCCTTTTAGCCAGGTAAGAGCAAAGTATTCTCTTTTCAAAACTTTCTCTGTTGGTTATCAGGGGTGGGAGCGGAGAGGAGGGAACACTGCACGGGAAAAGAAAAAAATCCCTTTTCTCCACGTAGGTGTGAATCATAGCATAAAACTAAAAAATCAAACTCACTGCCGTCCAGTCGGATACGGCTCATAGCGACCCCTCATTGAGTTTCTGAGGCGGTATCACTATGGAAGTAGATCGCCCAACCTTCCTTCTGAGGAGTGGTTGGTGGGTTTGAACCGCCAGCCTTCCAGTTGGCAGTCAAATGCTTTAGGCACTATGCCACCAGAGCTCCCTCTAAATAGTATAGTAAGTCCAAAAACCTGCCCCTAAACTTAACAAGGCTGTTGGTTCAAGTCCACCAGCCACTCCTAGGAAGGAAGATGGGGCAATCTACTTCTGTAGTGATACTGCCTTGGAAACCCAAGGAGGGGTCGCTAAGAGTCGGGTCCGACTCGACGGCACATAACAAC